ACATTTTCTCATGTTATTTTCAGGTCTTTTTCACATGCAGGCAGCAGCGCTGATAGTAGTTGCAAAGAAGCAGAACCAAGACCATCCAAACGTGAGTTCCAAAGAAGAACCTCATTTTTAGAACCATTGAAAACACTGGCATGTAATATTATTATCATTATTATTAATCATCTCTGGTAAGGATACCAAGGATTCCTCAAGAGCACCCTAGCTCACATGTAACATTTTCTAACACAATTTTCTAGTGCAACAGCTTTACAAGTGTAAGTTAGAATGCAGTACTGCCCACTGGTCGAAACGTCAAGTTCACACTCAACAGATCTTATCAAAACCGTACCTCGTCCAAAAGAGATCTTTCCACATGCTGTTATTGCAAGCCTTCTCTTCAGTCTATCTCTACCATGCACAGTTTCAAGTCTTACCCAGAACAAAATAGTTTGAAGCTAAGTTGAGAATTTTCCCTGTTTTATCCAATCAGACCTGTTAATTTTGGCTAGAAAAAAATCTAGACAAGTTGAATTATAAGAATGGACTCAACAGCTCTGCAACTGATTTTTGTCCTTCATTCCTTTTTTTTCAGAACCGAGGTTGGATGCCTTCCTGTTGAAAAGGTCAGTCACGGCACCAGCTAGAACATCGCAAAGTCTTCCCTCTACGCTACAAAATCACACCAGTGAAACTCATCAGCTTACCAGGACTAGTGAAGATAATTCTTCTCAGTGTGAAGAGAATTTTACAGAAGTTACGACTGATGAAGACACTTGTGTTGGAAAGGTTGCGCAAACTGACAAAAAATACGAGTCAGATGGTGACCCAAATGAGTCAATAAATGAGCAACTGAGTACTGACCTTAGGAGTCGCATTGAAACCAACACAAAAGGATTCTCAGATCCCACAGAGTGTGGAGAAATTAGTCTAACCCTACCAACGACCAACAGTCTGTCTGAAGAAATCTCTCCTGACAGTGACCTCAAACAAGATGGCAGCCCAACTCTTGACAGCAACTTGGAAAAGGTTTCAGAGAAACACGTTGACAGAATCCAGACAGCCAGCTCTGACACAAAACATGACGAGTTACAAGGCAATCATATAGGTGCCATTTTGCAAAATGAAACATCAAGTCCAACATCTGGTGAAGAAAATGTAGGACTTCCTGTGAAAACAGAAGATGAAAGGACTACATCTGATGAAACAAGAAGTCAGCAGAGAGTAATTGTAATGGTGAGAATCTACCGAATATCTCTCGAACATTAACTGCTAATCAATTTTCTTTTTGTTTTTAAACATGTTACGACTAAATAAGTCAGACATGCAACTTTTCCTCGGATCCGCTGATTTCCTTGTTTTTCACTTCAGACATGGGCCATTGAAAATTGAAAAATACTGCACAAATTGTAGCAAAAATTGGAGTTTCCTCATTTTTTGTTTCTTCCAAGTTGCATGTCTGATAAGTACAATTAACTGTCATGATCTGGAGGCTTTTGTTTTTGTCAAGATGTGGATTGTTCACCTCTAGCTTTTTTATTGTGCTCTGAAGAGTGAGAGATTTTAAAGAACATTTGATATTACAGTTGTTAAAAAATTTCAGTGCATGGTTGAACTCATTTGCTGAGTTCGGGCGACTTGTTCTCGTTTGTTCACGAACAGCTCGATTTGTTGTTCGTGGGTCAGCCGCTCAAATGCCGGGAACACACAACCAGTTATTATCACTGGTAGTTATTTATTACAAGCAACATGCAACATGGCAGCATCCTTGTGCAGTCTTCAAGAGTTAATGTCGGATAACTGGGTAACTTCTTTTCCATTAAAAAAAAAATTCATTTCTGTCATGGAAAATTATTAATGTTAATTTTGCAAAACTTTCCATTGTCTCCAGCTTTGTAAGCCATCTCAATAGTTTTTGCAGCTTTTCAAAAATCAAATCTCACAAGTTTTTCCACGTGTTCCTGTAAAATCCTGACGAGGAGGGAGCGCGTGAACCTGTTCCAGGAACAGTGTTCTTGGGTCGTGTTCCCACCATTGGAGTGCAAGAACGCGAAACCCGTGTTGAGTCAAGAACAGGCCGCCCGAACTCGACCATTCAGTAGCAAGAGATCATTTTGCTACTTGCATGACATCTTTCAACTTTGTGCATTAACAAGAGAGAGGATGTTGTTATTTGCTTGTTCTAAGGACGACTCCAGTTTTCAGGCTACCACATCAAGGAGGGAAGTCAGGGTGCCGTTTTCAATGGACATGCTGTCCAGCAGGCTTAAAGAGAAACAAGGTATAGTCCATACGCACACGATGCCCCTCTCTGCTGTATTTCAGATTTGATTTTTATTTCGTAGCATTACAAAAAATTAACCATTGCTGACAGTTTTGAGCCGATGATTAGGGTATTTCTTAGAGTAGCAAGGAGAATCGTGTAACTAAGGATTCCGATTTTGTTTGGTCAGCAAAAAATTTCTACCCGAGCACTGTATAAATTAAAGTGCTGATCATAATGGCAGAATTCCGCAGTTGATTAGCAGAGCTACGGAGAGGGTCCAATCATGCAAAGTTGCTCAGTGCTCTTTCTCATTCCCACGATAAGTAACACTGTGAAGTTGGCTCATGTTGTTTTGCTTGTCTGTTTACCTGTATACTGCGGGACAGACCTTTTTCCTGTGATGTCACATTCGTGCTGGACCGCGATGTGTTGTGATGGTTATCTACTTATTCAAGATAAACTAGTCAAGCATGCAGCATTCGCATGTGTGCTTGCACGTGGTTGAAGCTGCCTGTAGGAATATATGCGATCACCGTGGCCACGGCATTCCACACGTGATGGTATTGTCTACATTTAGCACAATCCCCTCACATGTGGTGAAAAAGATCTGTACATCCTGTTGTTTCTGAATAGACTGGCTACGGCTTACAGTATCACACATGTCAATGGGCAGTAGCTGCAGCCGCTAAAAAAGCCAGTGGCTTCCATATCAGCATACGTTATTTCCAGTCATAGTCCTCTCTTAAGAACATAACCACAGTACCAGTCAGTCAGACATTCATACTTTGTTTGGTCTCATCATGGTATTCCTAGATTCTCAGGGCAGTCCCCGAGCTTTGAATCGCACCTTCAAGGCAGTTATAACCCCTGCGGACAACAGCACCGCAGAGGAGGAACTCAAGAAACATGTCAGGTAGTGGGTGTGTCTGAAACATTTGAGAGATGTTTGCATACAAGCAGTTGTACATGCAGTTTACTATCTTTGGCCACAGTCAACCGTCCTTGTTTGCTTCAAGCAGATTGATGTCTATATGCCCACAGCTTCTCATACACTTTAATTGTAGTCGGATTGATGAAGGTCTATGTTTTTCTCACAGCAAAGACATGTTCCCATGCATGCAGATATTAGGCCAATTCAACCTGGGATTCATCATAGCCAAGTATGATAGAGACTTGTTCATCATTGATCAGGCAAGTGTACACCCACTGCTGCATGGTCAGTGCGTGATACAGAACATGGTGCATGTATCGGTCAAGATCAAATCCAGCCTCCTGAGCGTGGACACAGCACAAGAACATTACATGTTGTTGCTTAACCACCCACGACAGCTTCAGTGAGTGGGGCAAACAGGTGTCCATGCTAGTTTGTGTGCTTACAGCACAGTGCACATGTAGCTCATTTTCATTGGGATGTGCACAAAATCATTTGATCTGTTGAGGGGGGCACTTGTGCAAGGATTCCATATCCGCATTGAGCTGAGATGGTTTGAGGAAGAATTGTGGGGAAAAAAGATGGAGCCTCCTGAGAGCCGGTATAGGCTGGCGAAGGCACTTTGCAGCAGTCTTGAAAATTACATGCACTGCCATTATTTTTATGGGGTTGTTTTTTGTTTGTACCTAGCATGCCACAGATGAGAAATACAACTTTGAGATGTTGCAGAGACACACAGTACTACAAGGACAGAAACTTATCCAGTGCGTACATTCAGTTTATGTTTGTATTTCAGTATTTCAAGTTCCTGAAATAAAAAAGACCTGTAAATTGCTACTTTACTTGAGCAAACTGAAATATATAAACTGAAGGGGGGAGGGGGAATTTTTGTAAGGGGAATTGATTAGGTTCAATGATAATCCTCATCAGGGATTTGAAGTTATGGCCTGTGGAACACTGTACATGCTTTGCAGCCAGTTTTGTCAATTTTTCATGTAAGTTTTCAATGTTCTGTTCACTAAGCTCGCGTGCTGCATAGAGAACAAGTCTGTATGTATCTCGTACAGTCTGAAGATCTATCAGAGCCGATGCAGTTTTTCCCAAATAATTTTAAGCCAATTTTTGTTCATACAAAAAATTACGTAAACTTTGCAATTATCAGTGCGCTTGTTTGCAAGGTTTTTTGTGACAGCATTTAGAATACGGTACCTGTTTATATTCTGTGGTTTTCTTGTGTTTTCTAGACCAATGGCATTGGAGCTGACTGCTGTGAGCGAGTCCGTTCTGATTGACAACTTGGAAATCTTCAGGAAGAATGGATTTGATTTCAACGTCGACCCAGAAGGTGATTGTTACTTTTACAAGAAATCTCATGAGAGCAGAGGCTTTGCATGGCAGCCATCTTGCAAGGCAGTTCTTCCAGGGGAACCTCCTTTGTGCACCTCCTTTGCCTCTGTGGAACAAAAAGATTGGCCTGTAGGATGGCAGCCATGCAAATCCTGTATTCTGTCCAAAAAAAGTGGACTGGCTGATTAGTGTTTGCACAAGCAGTTTGTGACCTCTTTTCTGAGACCTGTGCTGTGAAATTTGCAACACCAGCTTTTGTAAATATTATTCTCCATGAACTGCTGGTTTAAGAGACTACAAAGTCACACCTGATAAGAATGGTGATAATTTTGACTTCTCGCTTCGTAAGTGTTACTCTTAATTTGTCTTTCAGCCACACCCACCCAAAGGGTCAAGTTGACATCTTTGCCCATGAGCAAGAATTGGACATTTGGCAAGGAGGACATCGATGAAGTCATCTTCATGCTCAGTGATTCCCCGGTTAGTAATCAATTTTTGTTATTGATATGCTTAAGCCCATGTTTGCTTTAGACTGGGCTGTTTAGGCATCCGGAAGCAGGGGCCATAATTCTGGTGGTTCCACATGTTTACATTGATTTGTGTCGATGTTCCTCTTTTCAGAAAGTTTGAAAAAGATGAATTTACTCACACTGTGAACAGTTTTTCAATCCAGTTTTTGATTATGACATCCTTGACTGTTCTCCATTGTGCACCATTGTGCAACACAACCTGACCCCCAAAGTCCTCTCAAACCCTTTTTTTCTTTAGAAGGGAGAAACATTTAGTGGACCTTAGTGAGTATATACAACGGCCTTGCCTCATGCACTGTGAGGACCTCTTTCGTTCTCAGGTCCAAACAAGGAGTATTATATTTGTCCATGTTATCGTACGAGTTGTGCACACGTATGAAATGTCTCTGTGATCAATACGGTGTTGTTCTGAATCGCAAGAAATGCTTACCTCAAGTTGAAGGGCAACTCTACATGTATGTGCTTGGAGGATATGGGAAACGTCCATGTTTTTGTGGGACGTAGTCAGAGCACAGTTGCCGCGGTGGCCATTCTGGTATTCAGATATACACAAGCCACCTCAGGGTTTAAATTTACCTTATCAGTTGTCGGTCTTGTCCCCCACCTCACATCTCCTTTATGTCCATAGGGAGTGATGTGCCGGCCGAGCAGAGTACGTCAGATGTTTGCCTCACGGGCCTGCCGCAAGTCCATCATGATCGGAACGGCACTCGACAAACGAGAGATGAGAAAGGTTGGTGTATGTGATTTTGTTTCCTCTCCAATTATATCTAGGTTACATTTTCAGGTTTGCAAAACAGGGAATGTTCCTCACGTTAAAACTGTGAAGAGAACGAAAGACCATAGCTGTTGGTTACAGCAATTCCATGTAATCGTCCTTATTAACAAGACGGCCATATTGAATTGAAAGCGAGGTTAACTTACATTTTTGCATGTGTAAGTAAGTTAAAAAATGAAAGCAGTGGAATTAAACTTCATTACACATTAATGTCATTTACGCAGATGAAGAATTAAAAATTTGTGATTAATTCTATCGAAACTTTTGAAGTTTCATTTTATAAAAATATACTTGAGGCATGGAACCCCAAATAGTCTGGCACCACCCTATTTAAAAGATTACATTAAATGAAGTAGATTCTAGGAGCACAATAAAACATGACTTCCTTGTGAATAAATTCCCAACTACTGAGCAGTAACTGTGGTAGTGACTAGTTACGACTGACAAAATGCACATCAAAATACTTTGGGACTAGCAGAGATTAAATGACAAAGCAATATTTGGCTCTTTGGGCAATTGGGTTGAAGGAGACGCTACACTGGCACTTCATCTTCTTGAATGAATTTATGTGCAGTAATAGCTTAGCAACTGATCCAGTAACCATGTGGAGAGTCTTTGTCTATGTCCTAATGAATGGCTCTGGCTAGGAATAGCACATGTCTATGGAAAGTGTCTGCAGCCGCTAAGCCAGTGGCTTCCATAGCTGCTGGTGTTATTTTAAGTCCAAGCCACACTTTTCGGACATGCTTTATGTTTTGTACCTGAAGCCTCACTGTTAATCTAATGGGGCCACTCTGTTTAAGGAGACAATGGAATAGTCATCTAGGTTATGTCAGATCTTGTAGCAAAATGATGTAATTTTGCCCATGTAAGTGAACATTACTCTTGCATTGTTGGCAGTGGGATTAAAGCAGTCCTTGACAGACAAAAATAGGAAATGTTTGAAGTCAGCATACTTAGCTGCCTTTTATTTAGTTCCTGTAACAAGAAATTAGCTAATAATGTCCAATTGTTTTGTGCACATTCTGTTGCTAACAGACTGTAAAAACATCCCACAAAGCTAAATTTTCTGCCTCGTGTAAGAATATGTTTGCAAAGATGCAGTTTACTTTCTTTTTACAGTTGGTGAATCATATGGCAGAAATTGAACAACCATGGGTGAGTATTTCTTGATGGCTTGAGTATTTTAATCAAGAACATTGATTGCGGACCATTCAGTCTAGTCACTGCTGTTTTTCCATGGGGACTGATGTCGCAATTTTCCTTGAATGACAAAAAAATCTACCATAGGGTTCCAACACAATGGGAATTTGGGAAGACTTCTGGAGGCTCAACTAAAACAACCTTGAGGGTAAAGGTTTGAGAAATCAACAAAATTGCTTCTGCTTTTAAAGTAACTCTTCAGAGTGTTTATCTCTTTGTCTTTTTTTCCCTGTAAGGTCTATGCAAAGCTCTCCCTGTCCATTGAAATACATGTAGCTTTTCATCCAATCTCTGGTGACACTCAGAACGATTCTGCATAATGTCAAGCTCTCCTAAGCTCTACCCCCCCATCTTGGTTTCACTGTGCTTAATGTTTTATTCTTCCCTAGAATTGCCCACATGGGCGGCCCACAATGAGACACCTCTTTAATCTGGACATGCTACCCGACTGAACCCTGCGATATACAAGATAGGATCTCCTGTGTTTTTTAGCCATGCAAGAAGCAAATACAGAGAGCTATCAATAGCAGATTCATGTGTAACATTAGAGGGCTTAAATGCCCAATATGGAGGGTTTGCATGACTGCCATGTTGCAGGCTAATGCTTTTGTTCCACAGGTGATGCACAAAGGAAGTTTCCTTGTGGAACAAAAGAACTACCCTGCATGATGGCTACCATGCAAAGCCTCTGTAACAGACTGGTGGTCATTCTTTTCTGAAGCATCGATTGGCACAGAGTAATCACAGATTTCATTTCCTACTTTTTTACTGCACTGAACTATTTTGTTTAGAATCTGCCGGTGGATTATCGTCCATGGCTACACTTGTTTCCCATTTTTAATATCATGCACAGTTGTCTTAAATTGAACAATCTCTTCTTTTGTTGGGACCTTGTCCATGTGCGCCACCTCTTTCGAGTCTTATTTTCTCCATGCTATGCCTTTTGTCCTGCTCTGCGATTCAAATTCACAGGGACCAAAATCCTACAAATGCAGGGTTTAAGGCTTTTTTGAAAAAGAGAGTTTTCATGTTTGCAGATGCCAGCATGGAATCCCATTTTCTGCTGTTTTGTGAGAGCCCGTGCACATGTACATCCCTTAAGAGAGTATCATTTGCTGTAATGATTTTTAGATGTTTTTATGTCCTGATTTTTTTAAATTAAAAACACAGATTAATTAAGTAGCCTGCTTTAGTAGTCTTACATTTGCATCAACGGGCTGCATTCCGTATTGTTAAAGGAAAATCACACCCATACAAATTGGAACACTTGGCCAGGCCATTTGTCTTTTTCTAGAAATTTAATATTTTTACATGCGATATTTAATTAAAAATTAGATGAGACAGACTCTTAATATTTTTCATCACTGCATCAGGTGTTCAATAAATGTGACTTTAAAAAAGATTGCATTCAAAATAAATAGTTCACTACAGTAAAACTACACGTTAAGCAATTTCACGTCCACGCAGGTACCCTGGAAAGTTACCACTTCAAAGGACTAGCCATGTTGACTTGGTGAAAAAAAGGTCTAAGGTTAGAAGCTGGATGGATGTCATTGGTTGCCATGGGCCGCGGAAAGGCCAATTCCTGCATCTGATAGGCTGAGCTATGGGAACATCTACAAATCTGAAAATGTTTCCCCAAACATCCAAGAACCATGTCACAGATTAGATCCTCCAAGAAGAAATTCACAACTGTTATAGACAATTATAGAATAGACGATTTGTACTCTGAGAAATGCCCTGCAAACTGTCTGCTTTAAATATTCGCTAATGTACTGAATTATTGAAACAAAAGTGGAATTACGGTAACGAGTGGGTTGTCTACAGAAAAGTTGTGGTTCTGCTGTGTTGAATCAAATACACTAAGAATACTTTCATACATTTTAATACATAATTTTGATATTGCAAAAATGTGTATGCAACTTTGAAATTTAAATAGTCTATCATACACAGCACTATGCCTCTTTCTCAAATCTCAACTTCATCTCAGTTGTGGCTTTGGCTTTATTTTTAGTTCCCTGAGGATGTAATGCCAATTCAATATGATTTAGTGTTTTGCTTCCGAAATGCAGACACCACAATATAATATGCCATGCCTTTTCAACTGGCTCAAATACTGAAGGCCTACAAAACGGTTTTCGAGCGAAAGCCAAAATTTGAAATGGAGGCGAGTTCTGAGAAAACCATAACGCCTGGTACTCCGCGTGCAGGGGGCCCAGCCCTGCACAGAGCCCTGGGTCACCAGTCGCAGGAGCCATCCTTCCATCCATCTCGCCATCGCTCGTCCACCTTGCTGCAGTCAAACTCGGGCTTGCCTATCCTGCGGCTGACATCATTGTGCAGCCTGCAGAACCACTGGGAGAGGGCGTGGCGGCTGCTGGTATCCGGCTGGTTGGTCTTTAACCTACGCGAAAAGTATGGACAGGAAGCTGTGTCAACCTTGGAAATCGTTTAACAAAACTGTCACAGACCATTTCAAGTTTTAATAATCAAGTCGCACATAGGAAATGTACTTAATCCAAACTGGAGCCTGAGTAAAAACTTTATGGCCCGGTTTGTTTCACGTGGATTTGGATCACAATCAGTGATCCGTCCTTGGTTTACAGACACCAAAAGTCACTTAATGGATGGCGTGAACCAGCGCTAGGATCGCTGATCGTTATCTAAATGCATGTGAAACAAACAGGCCCAACATTTGAACCTATTTGGGTGGGACTCGCACCCACAACCTCCTGCTCACCGGATTAGCTTACTTTTCTCTGAGATCCTCGGCGCACTCATCGCAGGGGAAGAACTTGGAGAAGAGGTTGATGAACTGTCCCATCTCGCTCTGCTGCATCTCTGTCGGCCGGTCCGGGTAGTACGCCGCCATGGTGTGCAGAAATGACCAGGTGTTCCGCCCAAGCTCTTCCCGATCCAATGGGCACTCAGGATCACTGGCAGGCTCTTTGCCGTCACTTGCTGATTTCTGTGAATGAATCTAGCTTTAAAATCCTCATAAACCATGTGTTTATCGAATGACCCTAATTTCTTTTGTTTATTTTTGAATCTTCAATCCATCTCTTCCACAAAACTCTTAAAAACCATCAATGCAGAAATGAATGTGTGAATGGATCTGAATGCATGCATTACCATATAAAGATTTTCTGAAAGCCATTTTAGTATGGTGGCTAAAAAAGACCCTCAAAACATGGGTCTGAAGATTTTGAGATGATGTATTATCCACTTCGGAAGAATGCAAATTTAGAAAAACACTGCATACAGTCATGTAGGCTGTCCCATAAATGGTTGATTCACTATCGTGATTAAAGCACAATATAGAAAGTATATCGTGTGCAGTGACAACTTGGAAGACTCCGGTGAGTGAAATTTCCTACTTTAAGTTCCCTCCAAGTCGCCTTGGAAGTGAGTCTTACTAAGAATGTATGTTGTTTCAATTTCAGCAATAATTGTCTCGTTTCGACCATTCTCTTACATTTATTTTTATTTATTTTTTTATTATTTTTTTTGGAAGTAGGCTTGGTCCTCCAATTACACTCGGATTAAGTTCTGTTAAACGACAATTTTTTAACCAATGGTCAATTTTCCCTGGTGCCTGGCATATATTGAATGTACATGTTACCGGTGAAAACTGACCACCGGTTGACTATTTGTCGCTGATCGAACTTGCCCTTGGCTGTTGGTCTTCTTCGCCGGGCCTTTTCATGGTTTCCCCATCATGACTATTGTCATACATCAATGGTTTCCTAATCCTACGTCTCATTCCCCCTGTATGGTATAGTCGATAAAGTATCCAGAGGACGCATTACACCTTCATCACCCTCTTTTAAGTCCTAGGAAAGAATCCCATAGTACACACACGCTGCTTGACATCCTGTGCACAAACCCTCTGAGACTGTGTTTGAGAAGTGTGTTGGTTTCTTAATGATGGAAAATGTACAATGTGAAATATTATTGACTCCCCAATATTCTAATCAAATATTGATATGTTATGGCTCTGAAAGTAAACAGAGTCATACCAAAGCAAAACGAAACCTTCTCAGGTATTGCATCAGAATTGGTTGACGCTTAAATTTTCAGGGTTAGGCCTATGCTTCGCGTGCCCAACGAAATTCCCCGACCATGCCGACTGGCAACTAGTCTCACAAAATACTTACATTATTATGCAGTCCAGGTGGCATGACTAATCCTTGTGACTTTGCAAACGATTTGAAGTCCGTGCAAGCCCTGCAAGGTTTTCCAGCGGCCGTTTTAGCAGTTGTTTTGTAATTCACATTTTCCTCTCTGGAGGCTGCCATATTGAAATACGCCCTCTAACTTAGGTTTGTTTTTCACTGTTATTGAAGGTAGCACCCCTGACTTCACTGTATACTTTTACACGTGATTGCTACCCACTGACTACTTTTCTGCTGCACCATCGTTGATCGGTAAACTTAGTTGTAACTTGTACACAAACAGGAAGCACGTCGCGGTAAAGTGTAAGTTCTTTTATCTTCGAGCAGCTGTGTTTAATTTTTCTCTATGTAAGATCTTCTTATCTGTGCTATTCAGTAGGTAATTTGTGGTCAAACTGTTGTGTTGTCAAGTTCAAAAACTGTTGAGTGTTGTGAAAGTCACCAGTCATGAAAGTCAAGTGAGATTTTAAGTTCTACTACTACGCCTACATGTAATTGCGTGGTAGAAGAGACATGAGAAATGGGTTTGCTGGTACACCATGGAATCAATCTCTATTAGTTTTGGGCGATGTGTGGTTCCTAAAAGAACCAGTGAGTGTTAACTCGACATTTCAGCCAGTGTGCTCTGGCCGTCCTCAGGAGAGTGTGCCGGATTGTTGTTGTTTTGTTTTAATGGCTCTTTTAGCAACTCAGGCTATTTGTGCCAATAACTGTACGTTTATTCATACACTTCATTAATCAGCATCACATTACGGAGTTAGGAAGAAGGTCCAGTTTTAGACGCAGGAGGAAACCGGAGTACCCGGAGAAAACCTGCGAGAGCGAGTATGGACTGGAAACCAAAATCACTTAAAGCCTGGGCAAAGCCGGGACTCTAACCTGGGCCTCATTGGTGCAAAGCGAGGAAAGAACCGCTATGCTAACGCAATTCCCCAGTGTGTGCCGGGTTGGAGTGGATAGCTGGTTGTAAAGGTAATCCCGAAGCAGTGGAGCGTGGATTGTGATTCACGGGTTGAGTGACTCGGTGTGTGCACTGTTGCCTGAAGGTGTTGGATCCTGGAATTGGCGAGAAACCTTGGGTTCGGGTATAAGGGGACCCTTATGCCGGGGAGGGGACGGAGATGGCTTTGGGTAGAGAAGACCCTAACTCCTGGGGGGGCATGGGCTTCGGGTATAGAGGCCCCTACTGCCCGGGAGTGGGTATCTGCTCGGGTGCTAGTAGTGGGTGCCTCAGTGGCTTCTCGGATTCTCCTTAGGAGCCAGTTCTGGATGGGGGCGATGAGTTCTGCTTTGTCCCATTCGATGCGGTGGTTCATGGAGTGTGCATAGCGGATGATAGCTGAGTTGTATTCTCCTCGTCGGCCATGCAAGCAGTGTTCTTGGAGTCTGGTGGGGAGGTTCCTTCCGGTTTCCCCGATGTATACTCGGCCGCATTCACATGGAATGCGATATACACTGGGGCGACTACTGGATGGGTGCTTGAGATTGATTCGATGGTGTACCTGCAAAGTGAAAGTCATTTTTTTTTAATTCTTATGTTTCAATAATTTATCCGCTCCTGTTCTCTATAATAGGCCTATACAGCTGTAGGGGGATTGTGAATTCGGGGACCCCTCAAGTTTTTTGTCATTTCAGTCTGTGCAAAACTGGTCATTCCCCCCAAAACCAAAGGCAACACTGTCTAAATTGCCCTGACGCTGGTTTTTGGAAACTTCAAATTGTAAGTTGTGAGAAAATGTGACTTTCCTACTGATAAACCAGCCGTGCAAATTTGACTCCACCATGTGTTGTGTTAAAACACCCACAGGTTCCCGTCATATATTCCCTCAAAACTCTGCCCTTTTTTCACAACATCAACCGTACAGTTATTGAGCACAATGTCACAGTCATCTACCTATGGTAAGCCAAAAGTTAAAAGGTAGATCTCCCTTCTATTATAGGAACAGGGTCCCCAAATTCACCATCCCTGTAATTAAATAAGGACCTTATGAATCGCGGCTTGACAGTCGATGGTCTGATCATGTCCAAATGTTTTGTAGGGTCCTACATGTAGTTACTTTGGACAAATTCCATACCATGTGCCATGAGTGTTTGCGACCATCACACACCTGTAGGCCAATGAATCATTTTCACCCCAGTTTACAATCCACTTTTCATTGGTTGCACATACAGTGGTTTTGGCTGATTTTATGCCAACCTAAGACTACACCATAAGCATGATCTGGTGATTTTAGGCCTGGGATCAGATGATGGGAACTGATTTTTAAACAGGCATGACAGGGCACAGGCTGATTAATTTTGCCTCCACTCCTTTGGCTGGGAAACCGTTCCATATGATCGCTGTTTCTTCCTGCAATTCAAACCCAACGGCTGGCCTGAATAATTTCAAGCCATGACCTCTAATCTGATTAGGTTTCTCATGAAAAGTGTGCCTTCTTCGATGCCTTTCAGCCCACTGTGTGCGTATATATTTGGAAACTAGAAGTTTCATGGTGCACTAGTAGAAGACACCCCTAGCCCAGGTTGGACGTTGTCTTCATTTACAATATGACTAAAGACATTGTCCACTGGGCTTACACCCTTGACCCCTGTGAGCTTGTCTTCTCAGAAGCCAGCAGTTAGCAGTACCACAGCATGCACTTTTACTTTTTTAGAGGTCGTCGCACTATGGGATTTGAATCCAGCTTTGATAGCCAAATACAATACAACTTGCATCTTGATTTTCACTTCCTTAAACAAAGTCTGAATTTCACCAAGTCTCATTCAGGAACCAGATAAAGGTTTGTCAGTTTATCAGCTGATCACCTCTTCTTTCTGTGATTACGGTATGCTGGTGGAAGACTGTTTGGCAAGGGGACAGTGACACACTGTCACTGACACTGTCAGGTTAAACTGATATTAGGACAATGCAATCAACCCATTATGCAGATCAACCATTGACATACAACATTATCTTGTGACATCCCCCAGGTACAGATTTGTTGTTGGCCTCTCTGATGCATCATGGGTAATCTCTTCGGGAAGAAGAAGAGCCGAGTCACAGAGCAAGACAAGGCAGTTCTGGTTGGTTGACAAAATTCTAGGCTTTTTTGTATATATTGACATGCTTTTTTAACTTTTTCATCCAACAGCGCACTTTTTTCAGCCAACAGCGCATTTAGTGCCAATTACCGGATTGAATGACAATTCATAAGACAGTGCAGAAATGTTCGGTTTCAGAGGTGGGAGGTAAAACCCTGGATAAATATTCCAGGGAAAAACCATGGAATCAGGCAGGGACTGAAAACCTAGTCCACATGCTGAGTCGGGTGGGATTCGAACCCGGGTCGCAGAGGTTGAAGGCAAGGAAAGAGCCACTAAAGCCAACCTGACTCCCCAAATAAAGAACTGGCTCATTGTAAGAAAGCTGGGGCATTCACCAGGTTTGAAACATTGCACTCACAAATCATCATTCACTTTCCTTACAGCAACTGAAGGAACAAAGAGATAAGTTGAAGCAATACCAAAGGAAGATTGAAGCGAATTTGGCCCGTGAAAGAGAGGTCGCCAAGACGCTACTACGCGATGGAAAGAAGGAGTAAGTTGCATGACCTCCAAGAATCTGTGTAACTGTCAACATGGAATCTCCTCGATTGTTCTAAATCCTTTGGGCGATTTTGAAGGATTTTGGAGGATTGAGGGTGAATGGCAAAAGTGCATGGCTGATTGCGAAGGATGTCATGCGTGAAGGTCGTGGATTAGACCTTGTGTTGTTCTTGCTTAGTCAAGCACAAATTCAGCCCGATTTTCTTTTGAATCAACCGTACTGCTCAAGAATGCCCTTCGCACTGCCTCAACATAATGACAGGAATTGACGGAGGATTTTGAAGGATTGAGGCAGTAGGCAGACCTCCACAAACAATTTTCAAGAAATTTTGGAGGATTTTGGAGGATTGAGGCTGAATGCAATTTTTTCATGTCGAAAATCAGAGGATTTTGGAGGATTGAGGATGGTTCCTAGTAAAAAGGCGTAGGGGGTTAGGGTTACAGGAAAGGTGTCGGGAATCTTGTTACATGGGTGTGTTTGCTTCTTGGTGGGAGATGTAATTTTGGTAAAGTGGCTTGCATAAGGACTTGAGCACTGTAGTGCCTGGCACATGACCAGTTTGCATGAACCAACAATTATGACCTCTGTGCGAGCAAAACAAACGATATTTACCCACATGTAGCAATGACAACCATTTGTTGGGACGGGCCACCTGCATGTGTACGTTCACATGCGCTCAGAGTGGAGCTCATGTAACCAATTTTTATTGGCATGTATGCTCCTCAGGTGTCCAGTTTAGAAAGTCTCTTTCTGGCGTCTCATTAGGGGACACTTGGGTACAAAACAGAAGCAACTCTGGCCCAACACACAAATTCCATGAGGCGGCTTTGAAACACATAGCTTAACAGTACTCATAAGATTTGGCTAGTTCAAAGCAAACCCCTCTATTTAGACTTACCCACGCCACACAGAAAATCTCCATATGTAACAAACAAATGGGTTATCCCTGATGCTTGTCCCAGGAAAGCTAAGCTTTTGCTCAAGAAGAAACGATATCAGGAGCAGGTGCTGACCAAGACCGACAACCAGCTAAGCAATCTGGAGCACCTGGTCCAGGAGATCGAGTTTGCCCAGATTGAGGCACGGGTTGTGGAAGGACTCAAGACGGGCAACGAGTGCCTCAAGAAGATGCACCAGGTGATAGCCTTTGGCCGTGTCCGAAACGGGCTTCCAGAGTTACGGCTAGGTCTCCGCGCATTTCTAATGGAGTGAAGACCTAGACCTAGCTCTAGATAAGAGATTCGGATGCAGCCTTTGACTCATTTTTTTTCTTTCCCTGGCCTTAAGGCTTTCATGGCTGATCTTGGCCAGGTGCAAGAGACATAGTTGGCCCAGTTGAGGACTTGATTGTTGGGGGATTTTCTGGAAGGATAAGTAACCTTACCAATTTTTCTTGATATCGCAGAGTGCATTGTTTTGCGTGCCGAGCCTTCAGGAATTCTTCGGTAATATCTTACAGTCATTTTGACTCAAATTTTGTGAGAATCAGACATGCCGTCCTTGCACAGCACTCATTTTTCCGATTCAGGTCAGCCAAAAAGTTATACTTTCTCCATGATGTTTATGATGCATGGAGGCCAAAACTTCAAATGGCCATAACAAACCATAAATCAGATTGAGTTTACTTCATTTTTGTATTGATGAGGAGTGTTTCTACATGCATGCCGAGTTTCAAAAAGATGGGCGTGGGACAGTCAGTCAAGTTTCTAGGGGGCAGGAATCCACCCCTTCCAACTGTGAGGATGGTCCAAAAAAACCGGCTGTTTTAAGGTTTTGGAGATGCACTAGGTAACAATCACTAGTTGTATTGTCAGGCATGCAACTTTTCCTCGGATCAGCTGATTTCCTCGTTTTTCACTTCACACTCACGCCAGTGAACATTGAAAAACACTTTACAAAGTCTCGTTAGGTTTGGAATTTCCTTGTTTTTTTTTTTTTTTTGTCAAAGTCCAAGTTGCCTGCTTGATTTCTTCCCTAAATTTCAAGGCTTGCACAAGTGGTCTTTCCAGAAGCCTGCTGGCTGCCGTGATACAGATAATAATACAGTCGACTCTCGTTAATACGAGGGCATTGGGACTTTCTAAATTAGCTCGTATTATCTGGACCTCGTCTTACGCAAAAGCTGCTGTCCCGCTTGTCGCATGTGTAACCGATCGAGCGCATCGTTAAGTGTACATCATGTACAACTTCCTGTACATACATGTAGGCCTACATGTACTTTGTATGCACGCACGTGTGGTTAGGAATTTCATTTCAAAACAGTTTATGTGTATGAAAGTGAGAAGTAACTGTACTTTTTATGAATAAAGACTTGAAATAAAGAACAATAACATAATTCAAGAACGGAGAAACCGGTCAAGTCGGGTTGGAGAATGCATGGTTGGAGTGATGCCGTTTTACGTCCCCAGCACGCCGTGATGAGATCATCATACAACGCACGCACGTACGTAAGGACATTAACATTTTAGGTAGTAACCAACATCAGTGCTGCGCTTGTTGCACAAAAAGGAACCAGTTATTGGTGGTGTGGATCGGCCAGTAGAGGGCTTCACTTGGTCAGTGACAACCGCAGCGCTTTACTGCTGTACACAATCAATTACGGAAGCCCCTTTCTGAATTCAATGGATTGACTGATTGACAAGTTGCCTTCAAAAATGCTTGTGCTTATTAGACGGATAACAATGTGTTTGCACACAGCTGGGGCCCCCAAAATGCTCGTCTTAAACGGAATCTCGTAACACGCAAGCTCGTATTATGGATTTTTTTTCCTCATAGGAATGTGCATAATTCAGTCGGGACTGGCAAATATACTCGTCTTAACTGGAGTCTCGTCTTACCCGAGCTTGTATTACCGAGAGTCGACTGTACTAATTATAATAATAATACAGAACACTTATAATGCGCAGGTATCCGCCAAAAACTGACGCTCATGGCGCAATACAAAGAACAAAATGATAATTCAGGAAAATATTAATCAACAATATGTATGCTGAAAGTAGTGGGTCTTGGGAGCCGCTTTAAAATCGGTAATGGCTGAAAGGGCACGAATGTTAATGGGGAGCTTATTCCAAAGTTATGGACCTATGTGGGAAAAAGATCGATCCCCCAAGAATAATGTGTTTTCGGAACAACAAGATAAGATTCACCCATTTGCCAATCTACTGTCAGATTAGCAGAACATAATTTGTCATCAGAAGTCATCCAGTTAAAAGACGAGGCATTGGCATAAGCAATATATGATTTGAAGGTTTGCATGTTGCAATAATGCAACAGTTTGCTGTAGCATCATGTACTTGGGTAAATCTTTTTTGTGAGTGAGGTTCTAAAGACAAAATAGCACTGTTCAAAACCTTGAGTCCTCTGTTTTGTTTAGAACCTCAGTCACGCGCAAAAGAGATTAATATGGTGGTAGTGCAGACCATTCCAGCATTCCTGTTCCATGACAGGAATTCCTTGTGCCATTGTTCACCCCTTTTAATACTATCAACCTTTATGCCTTGTGAGCCAACTTGTGCTGGACAAAGAAGTTGTGTTTGCATTCATTAGAAAGATTGCCGGTACTGTAGTGGATTGAAGGCATGATCTAAGCAGTTGAGAATGCTTCATTGGAATTTGTAATTGTGAACAGGTTTATAGGTGCATATGTAAAGGAATATGTAAATGCACTTGGGAACTACATAAATAAGATGTCTCCTTCTTAAATTTGGGCGCGTGCAGCTAAGCTGCGCATGATGCGACTGTGCGCATTTAAGAGCAGTAGAAAATAATATTGACTCTGGGTTCTATGGAATAAAGAAGTGGGAGGATGTTGTGAAAACGGACTGTTTTTAGGGGAGTTGGAGAATAGCTAGAGGCTTCCACGGGTTCATGTGTTACTTGTTGCTGTGCCTATAAAGCCTGGTTTCCATATCGACATAAGAAATGCAGAGAGGAATGCCATCAAGAGGCAAACTGCAATGCAGACATATGGAAACATGTCAAACGAAAGTGTCATCAATAACTCAGATTTACACATGTATGCAAACCAGCCCCAGATGGATGGATAAAGTTGAGCCTGGTTCAACTTGCTGACTGTCTGCATTGAGTCTCTGAGTAAGCCTTTACAAACATGCACGCTGGCATGACGGGCATACAACGATGTTCCTCTCGCTTAGTACCACTCATTTTGTCCATTTTCTCCTCATTACTAATACTAACATATGCAGCCCCAATTTTCAACCAAAAAGCTGACCATAAACAAATTACATCAAGCTGGAGCATCAGTTTAGCTTCAAGAGACTACATTTCCACCTATAAAAGGCATTTTTATGAAAAAATTCCTGAGTTTTGGACGCCATTTTCTTTAATTATTTTGGTGAAATGACATCACACAGTGTGTCTTCCACGACTGTCTGCATGTCTTGCATGCTCTCGGTATTGACCACATGGAAAGCAGGCTTAACTTGTGATCGTAAGCTCTTTAGAATAGGGCACACAGGCACACGTAGAGGTTCATTTGTGGAGTACAGAGCCTAAGTAACTGTCCTGAATAAAAAAGTGAAATGTTTAAGTGAATTTTCTTTTTTTGTCACAGATGATGTCACTAGAAGACGTTGAGCGAATCATGGAAGAAACACAAGAGGGCATTGAGTATCAGAGAGTAAGTAGCAATCTTAGGCTCAGGAGGTACGCTGCTCCTTTACTATCGCACAGCTGCCACCAAAATTGCAGCATGCAGTCCTCTGCATTTGTAATGTCCACAAACAACAGAGGCAAAGTGTGCGCACTATATTGTCGATCATTCCATGGAGTTCAAGTTGCATCTTCATCGTCAGCAGACAAGAAGGTCATCGTTGAATTTTTGCTTTGGGCATTCATAACCCTCCAAGGGTGTTTGCACAGTACAAACCAGAAGTAAATAACCTCATCAAAATCCTTCATTGGATGCTGGGAGGAAGGTAAACTTGACTTGACAGTTTCCTTGCATATCTTTAGCAGTGTAGCTATTTCAATGAAAGACTGGTTGGTTTCTAAGAATCTAACTCTTTTACTGGAAGTGGCAGTAAGACAGCGGATTGTGAGATCCAAGTAGCTGGTCGTGATGTTTTGATGAAGGGTCAGGGGAACAGACTGTTCTGTGTCCTTCCTTCATCATTACTGAGACAGGAACCAGGCAGTTGGCCCAACTTCTGTTTTTACACTTGTGTACCAATCCCACAGAATGTTGCCATTCAGACTGGGAATTGTGGGGGAAAAAAGAAGAAAAAACCTTCCTCATGGCAAAGAAATAAAAGTAACCCTCACTTTACTAAGGAAAGTCTAAGAGCTAATCTGTACCGTAACACCTCACCCAAGGCCAAGTTTAAGCGACGACAAAAGTTTGACTAACACCACCCAAACGATGAATGGTTTGGACTATCTAGTTGACCATTTTGGACCAGGCCCAGGGATATGGTCGCACCACTGATTATCAGGGGCCAATATCATTTATCATTACAGAGGGAACCATTCACATGAAAATAACGCTTCCAGATTTCAATAGCAATGTATGCTGCCAGAATCGCAGCCAGTGGTGAAATGTTAGTAATGGGGAGATTTAAAAAAAAAGACCGATTTTGGTCATTCAAGTGTAAGAGAATTGTGCATGTGCATTGTTGAAAAGCAATTTACTACTGTTTGAACTATCGTTTGTACCCAAACCGAACCAACCAAAAGGTTGGGTGGCAGCTATCAATCAATCTTCAGGCACTTTTGAGTAAGTAATCATCTCAAATCTCATTCTGGGAAAAGTTGAGGATAAACTGCCGAAGAGTGTTGCGGTGGAATGTTCCTGGGAATGAAGTTATCAGTATTTGTATATAAACGTACATTCTCCCCTACCCCCTCCCACTTTGAGGATTTGTCCAGGCAGGCCACTCAAGAACACCCGTGGTTTTGGTGACGGAAGAGCCACAGGCAAAGGACTTTTTGAAACTTCTCTAACCGTATCATTTGGAATAAATAAACCGGTTGACTCTTTCATAAAATACGATGCTTCTTTAGGTTTTTCTCCTTTGGGAAAGCTGTGGTCTTACTTCAGGTAAATGCAACTTTATTTGTATTTAATCTGGCAATGTTACTTCACAAAAGGACATCAACAAGAGAACCTGTACAGGCGGTGTATCTCAAATAACCTTGCTGTAATATCTCTTTTATTAGCCAAAAAATATCATGGCATAATATATTGAAAGTTAAGCATATTGTTGCTTTGCATTTATTATCTCTTGATGTGAAATACTGAAAACTTGTTACCACAATCATTATCAGACAATTCTTGCAAGGGAACCTTTCAAAAATATCAAAGTGAATACTTCCAGTTTTGAATTCAGAACTGAATGGATATGGAGGTATAACAACTGGCAGAGGTAACACAGTTACCTTTAACAAGCAAATGAAGCAAAATATACATATACATGTACTTGTCTATAAGCAGAGGGACTGACGAAGTCTGTAAGTTTTTTTCCAAGCACCCAGCTGATTCAGTCTTCAACACTGAACTTATCACCACAGAGAAAGTCTTAGTGTTTTGAGTGATCCAAGGTCAGTCTCTGGAAACCACAATTCACTTGAAATACTGACCACCTATTACAAGTCCACTGGTAATGCAAACAGTCCTTCACAGTAAGTGATGATGTACTAATGGAAAATTCCCCCAGAACTTCCCCTCAATAAATGTACAGCTACTTGCAGGGAAATTGTGGGGAAAGTATTCACTCTCCCCTCAATTTTACCGTAACTTGGATTTGATGTGACTCCTAATGCCTTCCTCCATGGTTTCATTTCCAGAATTAATAATAATAGTTCGGGCCCAGATGGCATCTAAATTAATAACCTTGGCTTTTATTGGCAGGTAATACGGTTGCAGAGAATGCACACAGCACATATTGTTCCCTTTAAGACACTTGAGTCAACGCATTAGTGGGTCACAGCACAGCACATTAATGTGTCTAGCTGTCTGCCCTCAGGCTACATGTAAAGCTTTGCCTGGTGTATTCTGGCAAGCTGACTGTAACACGATACTTAAATATTGCATTCAAAGGAAGAAATCAGTAAATGCTTCAGTAGGATGTGATGTACATGTACGAGTTTCATCTTCTTTCCTGATGTTGGATCACTGCTGGATGGAATACTCGTTAGCAGTCTTACGAGGGTAAAGCTCTCCAAATTCACCAGACATGAATGCGACCGATAGCCCATGTATTGATGACAGCGGCACCATTCTTAATGCGCTATATGTCCTGGTAGGATTCATCGGAAATGCTCGTTTGCTTGACCGTATGTTGCACAAAGGCCCTGCACAACTTTTTCATTCTGAATCTGGCAGTGGCAGATGCATTGTCTTCAGTGACTCATATTTCATCCCACTTTGTGGTCAAGCAGTTGTTACTTATAGATTGTCCTCACAATGAGACATGGTTCCCAGAGTTGATGTACTGGCGCAAATGTCGAGAGCTTGTAGTTTTCTTGGCCCGATGCTTTTTGGCCCACTCTGTGCTCAGTCTCACACTGATAACATTTGAGCGATTCATCGGGATCACCAGACCGTTGCACTACGGTCGCTACCTCAGTAGAGGGAAGATTGTTGCAATGCTGCTGGCTGTATGGGTAACACCTGTAGTTGTAGACTTGCCTCGTTTTGTGTTAGCTGTCCTACGTTCTGAGTATGACCCAAATGGCATAGGGTATTACCCTATGTTTCATGTGTTGTCAACAATTCTGCTTGTCCTAGCCATGGTGACAGAGTCATAGTTGACTGTCTGCTCAGTACATGTGCCATTTTCTGAGAGCCCTGCCTCTGAATCCATGCAGCCAGCTACAAGGTAGTCCATTTGGACGGAGTATTTGTTGTCCCGAACTCCTCTTTATGAGCCCCGAGCTGGACCAAGAGAGGGCACAATTTTCTAAGCAACGGAGGCTCCTTTGATTGGAACTGAATTTCATAGGTTCACAAACAACTATGAAATACACGCATTACGGTCGCATCGCTACCAACAAAATGAACACTCTTGACTAAAATGGCTCCTTTCAACTGACGAGGGGTTCTTCTGCTTGAGATATTTGCAACTGTCTTCGTTCGCAAAACTGCCAACACCAATCTGTCAGCTCTCATCCATAGCCACACAGCATGACCCAACTGCCACCTACAGAATACATGTCTTCAATTCCACCTCATAGCCAGTGATTCTAATACGTGTAAGTACTGGTATATTTTAAGTGGCGAGGTGTTCTGCAATAAATCCAAGTGACTACCATCTGAAATTCAAGCAGAGTGATATTATTTTGGTTTTGCATTTGTGATGTTATTTTATTCACATTGTATTCTCCACGTGTTTCGAGAGTTGCACAAAATGCATGTAGGATGTGAACCCATAACTTCTTAATTTCTGGTGCAAGAAGAAAGCTTTGTCATTGGGCATATAAGAGCAGAAAAAAATGGAACGGGAAGAAAAATCAGACAAGACGTTGGTGAACTAGATTAGCCCAATTCTTCAAATGCAGTTTTAAGTTGCAATTCTGCAGCCTCAGAAATGGACAAGACTTTGTTATTGATGGGCGGCATGCAAGGGAGTGTTACCATAGTAACAAGGCTCTTTGGCTCTGGTCGTGTTTATTCCCGTCATTTACCATTGTATACTCAGCCTTGATGTAAATTGCTTCTGGGAGCATTGAATCAATATGAAAGAGTCAGGACTGTTGATGTCATAGTGAGAGGCTGGCATTTGGTTGAGTAACTTCAACTACCAATTGGAGGAAGGGGAATTGAGAAAACATCTGATTAAGGTTTTTTGTTGGGGCAATATTGCTGGAGTGTTCATTTCAAACTTGCCTTTGTCAGTCCTTGGCAATTATCTGGGTAAAAATTGATGGAAGATTTGGTACAAACCTGCCTTTGTCAGTCCTCGGCAATTATCTGGGTAAAAATTGATGGAAGATTTGGTACAAACCTGCCTTTGTCAGTCCTCGGCAATTATCTGGGTAACATTGATGAAGGATTTATTACAAACCTGCGTTCGTCAGTCTTCGGCAATTATAAGGGTTACATTGATGAAGGATTTATTCCAAACCTGCCTTTGTCCGTCTTCGGCAATTATCAGGGTAACATTGATGAAGGATTTATTACAAATTTGCATTCTCAGTCTTCGGCAATTATCAGAGTAACATTGATGACGGATTTATTACAAACCTGCATTTGTCTGTCTTCGGCAATTATCAAGGTAACATTGATGACGGATTTATTACAAAGCTGCCTTCGTCAGTCCTCGGCAATTATCAGGGTAACGTTGACGTAGAATTTATTACAAACCTGCATTTGTCTGTCTTCGGCAATTATCAGGGTAACATTGGTGACGGATTTATTACAAAGCTGTCTTTGTCAGTCTCCGGAATTATCAGTGTAACATTGATGTAGAATTTATTACAAACCTGCCTGCGTCAGCCTCAGCAATTATTAGAGTAACATTGATTAAGGATCTATTATTAACCTGTGTTTGTGAGTCCTCATATTATGAGTGTAAAATTGGTGGAGGATTTGTTACAAACCTGCCTTTGTCATTCTTTTGCATCTATCTAGGAAACAACATTGATGGAGGAAATACAAAACTGTCTTTGTCAGTCATCAGA